TTACTTTATATCACAAACTAAAAATAACTAATATGCGTTATTTGTACATATCTCTTCTTCGTTTAAATAAATCGTTTTGTATTCGGTGCGAATACGATATACATTTATACTTTGATATAACGAAAATAAAACTTAAATACAATACTGCAACAAGTAACACTCACATATTTATCACGCTCGAATAACGTTATCATAGAAATAAACGGAATGACTTTAAACTCTGTTACTGAAAACAATATTCATCTTATAATTAAATAAAAGGCAATAATAGTAATGGTCGGATCACTCTTCCGGTATAAATGCACGCTCCTCGAGTTCCGATTTCAACTTGGGCGGTGAACTGAACGTGGTGGTATCGGGACTTTCAGTACCAGACTGACATTTATTATTATTTTCTCGGTCGTCGCAGATTTTAGAATTCTTCGTTTTTATTTCGGGCCCGTCTAATGAGACTCTTGACCTTGGCTTTTTATCAGGATCAAAGTGACTTTCGAGGACGATTAATAAATCTTCCTTCTTTTTCTCTTCAGCCGTTGTTAATTTTTCTTTAATTAATTTTTCTAAGCCCTCCTTTTTTCCATTACCCCAAGCTTCCTGTAAAAAAAAGAACATGATTTTAGTATGTTATTTTTACCAATAATGAATTCATTATTCGCTTAATAAACAAATATTCTTTAGATTTTATATGTACCTGTAATTCGGAATATTCGATTCCTGCTTCGGCGAGCAGTCGTCGTAAAGGACTGGCATGTTGACGTTCACGACGATTCCTTGTGAACAAAACTCCAAAAATAGGTTTTAATGTATTTTGACGTTCAAACACTATTTTTAGTTCTGAAACAAGGCCAACAGGTTACATGTGTAAAATCTGTACGATTACATCCTTTTATTTGTATTTTTGAGTCTTAATAAAATGTTGTATACCTTCGTATTCTTGTTCCTCTGCTTCAATTGGTTGAACAAATTCTCTAATAAATTCTACAGTTTGCTTTATGGCACTTTCACTATCACTGCTACCATTTGTTTCAGTTGCAGTACATTCTACTGAACTTAAATGTTGTACTATTTGTAGCGCTAAACATGCTCTATCTTTTGCATTATCTAGTTCTTTTTCCTTAAACATAGAAGAAAGCTTTGTTACGTTTATCTACAGGGATAATAATGTTCTGGTTTTACATTCTATAAAACAAAATCATCTTACTTGATTAAATAAAGTTCGGGATAATGCTCTAAGTGTATAGGCACGAACTGTGTTCGTACACTTTGCTTGAGCAACATTGAATCCATTTGCAAATCCTTTGACAGTTTGTTTAAATCTTTCCAAAAGATTATATTTTTTTAAGGATTCAAGCAACATGGCAGGAATAACTTTACGTGGCTCGTGATAAACTAATATTACACCATCTGTTGCATCGCCTTTGATACTTTCCAACCAAGTTATAAATTCTGTTAATGCTGATACTTCACTCTTGGTTTTTAATATCTGTGCAAAGATAATAAATTTAATGTTATAGAACATAAGAAACAAGGATATTCTAGTTACACTACAGTTTGATAGTTACTTTATTAGCTTTCATATCCTTAAGCACCCGATACTTTCCAATGGTCGCAACTTTCATGTTGTGCCTTTTCATAGCTGGGGGATTGAGGTCCTTAAATGGCATTACATATTGAGAATATGAGGAACTAGGAGTATAACCAGCTATTTGGCATGTTTCATCTATAACTTTCTTGCCTGTGGTATCCATGTCCCATCCAACTATTTGATAATTGCCTGGACCAATACCTACATCGCAAGATTTCCTAGGATTGCTAGGTTTTACATTTTCCACTACTGTTGTTGCCACCATCTTTTATAACTAATAATCTGTAAATAGTATATAAATATTATCTAGGTTATCTATATTTTTACATTTATAAAAGTTGAATTTATTTTATATAAATTGGTACAAAAAAATAATTGTATTAAAATAATAAATTGATTTATTTAAAAGGATATTTTAAACGATTAATAAGAAAAGTTGTTTATAAATATATATACATATATAAATGTGTAT